GTCTCTCGGAGGACTGGACTAGCCACGAGGTGGTGAACCAGTATAAATCTCGGTGTTCTTCTTTCCCTTACTCTCTTTATTTATTCCTGCGATTTTATTATTTCACACACGCGAAAAACGCACATTCTTGAAAACAACTCTATTCACCCCCCTCTAGAGTTGCACATTTGTCTAACAATTGGTATCGGAGCAGGAAGTTCTTCGAATACGTTATTTTTTCAGGAACTAAAAGATCAAATGGCATCAAGAATGTTCAACGCAGGAGTGACTGAGGGACAATCAACCACGAGGCCACCTTTGTTCGATGGAACAAACTACTCGTATTGGAAGGAGAGGATGAGAATCTTTATCCAATCCAACGACTACAAGCTGTGGTTGATTGTGAAGAACGACTGCAGAGTCCCAATGAAGAAAGTCGGTGAAGTAAACGTCCCCAAAACTGAAGAGGAGTTCACCGACGAAGATTGCAAAAAGATGGAGCTCAACGCAAAGGCAATAAACATGATTTATTGCGGTGTTAATGCGGATGACTACCACAAAATCTCGCGGTGTGAAACCGCAAAACAAATGTGGGAGAGATTGGAGGTCACCTACGAAAGAACCGCGCAGGTTCGGGAGGCCAAAATCGACCATCTCACCCACGAGTACGAACTCTTCTCAATGAAAGAAAACGAGAAGATTGAGGAAATGTTTGAGAGGTTCTCTAACATCATTAATCCTCTCAATCTTCTCGGGAAGACATACACCGACCGAGAACTTGTAAAAAAGATGCTACGAAGCTTATCCCCAAAATGGCGTTCAAAGGTGGACGCAGTTGAAGAAGGACGTGACTTCCAAACAACGACCTATGATGCTCTTTGAGGTAACCTCATTACCTACGAAACCACCAAACTCTCAAAGGTGGTTGAAGAGAAGAGCAAGAGGTCTATTGCTCTACCCGCAACAATATCATCCCACAACAACGTTGATGATGAAGATGATGACAGCGACGACACCGACCTCGGACTCTTCGTCCGAAAATACAAGAAGATGATGCTCAAGAGGGGAGCCAAGAAGAACACTCCACCCAAGTGCTATGGGTGTGGTGAAATTGGACACATCAAACCAATGTGTCCAAAGCTCAAAAACGAGAAGGACAAAAGGGCACCGAAGAAGCAACGTGCCTACATTTTTTGGGAGAACGGCGGCTCCGGGAGTGAAGACTCGGAAACGGAGGAAGTGGCCAACCTATGTCTCATGGCCATTGAGGATGGTGAAACATATAAAGAGGTATGTGATCAAGAACCTTCTCCCAATGATCCTTTAACTCTTAATGATGTTATTTGCATTGTAGAAGAACTTGTAGGGTTGTTCAAAAAGGCTTCCAAAGAAAATAATGAAGTTAAACAAAAAATCCTGATTTTTGAAAAAGATGTAAAAGAACTCAAAAATATTAATGATAAACTTAAACAAGAAATTATCTCTCTTGGAAAAAGGCCACAAGAACCTCCATCTACCTCTTCTACATGCTCTAGTTGTACATCACTAAAAGCTAAGGTTGCTAGTTTAGAGAGCAATTTGGGAAAGTTTAATAATGCTTCAAACACCTTAGATGAAATACTTAAGCAAAAACTTAGTAATGGTGAAGGACTTGGATATAAGAAAAACCAACCTAGAAAAACAACATTTGTTAAAGCTAGGGGGAATAAAAATGCTAGGATAAATAATAAAACTAGAAGAGCACATCCTAGAAAACCTAGAACTCATTACACTCAACCATATAGGATGAATAATCCAAACGTTATTTGCCATTATTGTAATAAGATAGGGCACATTGCACCCGTGTGCTTCACCAAAATTAGGCATTTTCAACAAACGCACACACATCGCACATATGCTAACCAAAAAGGACCCAACAATACATGGGTACCTAAACCGTCTCCTTGATATCTTTTTGTAGGTGTGCTTGAAGGCTTCGAGTACCTCTTGGTAACTCGATAGCGGATGCTCTAAGCACATGACCGGAGACGCATCCAAATTTAGGAGTTTAGAGTATTTCAAAGGTGGCAATGTCGTTTTTGGTGATAACAACAAAGGAAGAATCATTGGAAGTGGCACTGTCGGGAAGGACAATGCTACAACCGTTGAGAACGTTCTTCTTGTTAAGGGCCTCAAGCACAATCTCCTAGCATTAGCCAATTGTGCGATAGAGGAAACCGTGTCATCTTTGATTCTAGTAAATGCTTTGTAGAACGCTTGTGTGACAATAAGACTATTCTTTGTGGTAGTAGAGTAGATAACATTTACATGTTTGATCTTGAAATTCCCCATCTATCTTAGCTAAGTGCCTCATTACCAAAGAGGAAGAAACGTGGCTTTGGCATCGTCGGATAGCTCACGTTAATATGGACCATCTTAATAAGTTGGTTTCTAAAGACTTAGTAATTGGTGTTCCTAAACTTAAGTTTGAGAAGAATCTAATTTGTGATGCATGTCAAAAGGGGAAGCAAGTAAGGGCCTCGTTTAAGTCTAAGAACATTGTTTCTACGACTAGGCCATTACAACTTTTGCACATGGACCTCTTTGGACCTTCAAGAACTATGAGTTTAGGAGGTAATTACTTTGGCTTTGTTATCGTTGATGACTATTCGAGGTTTACATGGACACTTTTTCTAGCTCATAAGTATGATGCACTTAATGCTTTTAAGAAATTTATCAAATTGGTTCAAAATGAAAAAGATTGTCACATTTCATCCATTAGAAGTGATCATGGGGGAGAATTCGATCAAGATGGCTTTGACGCCTTATGTGATGAATTAGGCATTGAGCATAACTTCTCACCCCCTCGTACACCACAACAAAATGGCGTGGTTGAACGGAAAAATAGGTCTCTTGAAGAGATGGCTAGAACTATGCTTAATGAGGCTAACCTTCCTAAATATTTTTGGGCGGATGCCGTGAGTACCGTGTGCTACGTGTTAAACCGAGCCGTCATTAGACCGATACTCAAGAAAACGCCCTACGAACTTTACAAAGGAAGAAACCCTAACCTTTCCTATTTTCATGTCTTTGGATGTAAAGTTTTTATTCATAATAATGGAAAAGATAACTTGGGAAAATTTGATGCTAGGTCGGATGAAGGAATTTTCTTAGGTTATTCTCTTCGTAGTAAGGCATATAGAGTGTTCAACAAGCGTACTAAGACCGTAGAGGAGTCTATTCATGTTGTCTTTGATGAATTTGATGCTCGTTTGGCGAGAAAAGGTATTGTTGATAATGTTGCAGGTTCTTATGACGATGAAGAAGAAATCGTTAAGGAAAAGGAACCGGAAGAAGATAAAATGCAGGAACAAACGGAGCTTCCTAAAGAATGGAGAACATTGAAGAACTACCCGTAATTCTCTTAGGAACACAATTAATCACATGGCCTTTGTTTCACAAATTGAACCAACAACCGTTTTGGATGCTATTAATGATGAACATTGGTCTATGGCAATGCAAGATGAGCTTAACCAATTTAAACACAATGATGTTTGGGAATTGGTGCCTAGACCTAATGATCATTCCGTTATTGGCACAAAATGAGTGTTTCGTAACAAACTCGATGAAAATGGAGTAATCACTAGAAACAAAGCTAGGCTTGTAGCTAAAGGCTACAATCAAGAAGAAGGCATTGATTATGAAGAAACTTATGCACCGGTTGCACGTTTAGAAGCTATTCGTTTATTACTTGCATTTGCATCTACGATGGATTTTAAACTTTATCAAATGGATGTTAAAAGTGCCTTCCTTAATGGTATCATTCAAGAGGAAGTGTATGTCGAACAACCCCCGGGTTTCGAAGACTATGAGTTTCCCGAACATGTCTTCAAACTCAAAAAGGCGCTTTACGGTCTCAAACAAGCACCTCGTGCTTGGTATGAACGGTTAAGCAAATTTCTTTTGGACCATGAGTTCAAACGGGGNGTGTTTCGTAACAAACTCGATGAAAATGGAGTAATCACTAGAAACAAAGCTAGGCTTGTAGCTAAAGGCTACAATCAAGAAGAAGGCATTGATTATGAAGAAACTTATGCACCGGTTGCACGTTTAGAAGCTATTCGTTTATTACTTGCATTTGCATCTACGATGGATTTTAAACTTTATCAAATGGATGTTAAAAGTGCCTTCCTTAATGGTATCATTCAAGAGGAAGTGTATGTCCAACAACCCCCGAGTTTCGAAGACTATGAGTTTCCCGAACATGTCTTCAAACTCAAAAAGGCGCTTTACAGTCTTAAACAAACACCTCGTGCTTGGTATGAACGGTTAAGCAAATTTCTTTTGGACCATGAGTTCAAACGGGGTCAAGTGGACACTACTCTTTTTATCAAGAAAGATAACCAAGACATCCTTTTGGTTCAAGTTTACGTAGATGATATCATATTCGGTGCTACTAACGAGGTTTTGTGCAGGGATTTTTCCGATATGATGCAAAGTGAATTTGAAATGTTGATGATGGGAGAATTAAAGTTCTTCCTTGGGCTCCAAATTAGATAATGCAAAGAAGGAACATTCGTGTGTCAAATGAAATATTGTAGGGAATTGCTTAAAAGATTCGATGTTACCGAATCCAAATCCATTGACACACCAATGAGCACCTCTTGCTATCTCGACAAGGACGAAAAAGGTATAGAGGTAGACATCAAGCGCTACCGAGGTATGATCGGCTCTTTACTTTATCTTACCGCGAGTAGACCGGATATCATGTACTCCGTTTGTATATGCGCTAGGTATCAATCATGTCCTAAAGAGTCGCACTTGGTTGCGATCAAAAGGATAATGCGATATCTCGCGGGCACATTGAACGTAGGTCTTTGGTATCCCAAAGGTTCAACATGTCATCTTGTTGGCTATTCCGACTCAGATTTTGCAGGTTGCAAACTCGATAGGAAAAGTACCAGCGGTACTTGCCACTTATTCGGTCATTCGTTAATCTCGTGGTTTAGTAAGAAACAGGTTAGTGTTGCACTCTCCACCACCGAAGTGGAATATGTCGCTGCGGGAAGTTGTTGTGCCCAAATTCTTTGGCTAAAACAACAACTAGTGGATTTTGGCCTTATACTTGATCACATCCCTATTAGGTGTGACAGTATGAGCGCTATTAGTCTAACGAAGAACCCCGTTCTTCACTCGAGGACTAAACACATAGAAATTAGGCATCACTTCATACGAGATCACGTCCAAAAGGGAGATGTCACAATTGAGTTTGTTGAAACGAATCATCAATAGGCGGACATTTTCACGAAACCCCTTAGTAGGGAGAGTTTCTTCCACATTCGGAACGAACTTGGCATTTTGGATATCTCTATGAACTAATCCATTCTTTTTATTGACTATACTAATTTGAGCGTCGGAGGCGCGATAAATTCTTTTTTTCAGGGCTTTTATTTCAGGTATCTCTTCCCATGGCATTCAACCGAATTGGACTTAATGATTTCTTTCGTGCCAAACTGTTTTTAATCGATTACTCCTCAAAGAGAAATCGATTAGAGGCGTCTGTCCATCTTAATCGATTAACCATCTTTGTTTAATCGATTAATAGCCTGAAGCGCAAACGTCTTTGGTTCTGCTCCACTTCTAATCGATTAATTAGTTTAATTTAATCGATTGGCCTCGGCTGTGTTCCTTAATCGATTAAAGCACCTTTTTTAATCGATTAATATTCAATTTTTTTTGCTTCTCTTTATAATCAGACAGTGCTTTCGTCTTCAACGCCATCTCAGTTTTACAGAGACCGTGCGAAACCCTAGCCTCCTCTTTCAACTCCATCTCCGTTTTTCCTCAACAATTTCATCACCAAATCTCACCAAATTTTGTCAATTTCAAAGAGGGAAGATGCCAAGGTGCAAGAACGCTTCATCACGTCAAGATTCGGTGGCAGAAGAAGGTGAGAGGCCATGGCGTCGTGAAGGGAGCAAGTACATCCACATCCAAACCGGACTCGCCTTCAACACTGGGGCTTCAACCGAGAGGTTCCACAACACCTTTCTCATGAAGGAGATCGTCTCACCTAAGATCGTGAATAAGGACCTCTTCAAATCGGTGACCTATGCCCCGAGTAAGTCTCTTTTCTCTCAACAAGGTTTGCTTCGTTTCATTCATTTGACGTATGAATTCTATTGTCTAAATCTTATACGTCAATTTTATGCAAATCTTCGTACCACTATGGGAGACTCGCCATCTCTCATTTCCTATGTTGATGGCAAAACCGTTTTCATTGACAGTGCCGGGTTGCTTTTTTTTGCCTTCGTCGAGGTGAAATTACCGAAAACTTGGATGAAACATTCCAAGATGAGGCAATTTGGCGACAACTCGGGTTAGATCATCGTGACCTCAAGTTTAGAAATTCTAGCAACCCGAGTGTCATTAATCTCACTTTAATTCAAGGCGTCCAACAATACATCTTCTCCTATGTTTTGTTGCCCCGTGATTCGAACCATGACATTGTCAACTAGGACGATATTCGTTTGTTTCACGTCCTGTTGAACAATGTCAAATTTGATTGGGTTCACTTCTTTATCGTTGCACTTAGTTATGGCACTCGTTTTTCCCATCTCCGTTTTGCCATCCCCATCATGCATATCCTTGCTCATTGCAAAATAGACCTTACTCGGGACACTCAGGTGCCGGTCAAGAAGGCTTGTTTCATCACTGAAGCCAAGTTTTCCCAAATCGTGTACCGTGAGGAGGGCGATGCTGCACCAAATCTGGACCTGATAGTCGCAGACGAAGAAGAGAGCCAAAACGAGACTCAAGCTGAGTCATCTCATGCCAGAGGAAGTCGAGCCACGGAGCGCGTCACTCGTCAACGCAAGACTCGTCCAAGAGAAGAAGCACCAAAACCATCTTGGGTAAAGAGAATCTTCGATACTCTCACGTGCATCCGAGATGACGTTCGCCAGCTCAACGAGAGGATGACTCGTTTTGAGCAATCACGCTCTTACCGTGGCCCGCGTCACAGCTTTAGCGGAGGAGCTCGTCCGGCGAACTCTCTTTGATTGTTTTCCTTCTGTCTTAACTTAATATGATATATTGTTATTTGCTGTTGTTGTTGTTAATGACTCTTTTGGTGGATGATTATGTTACCATTATGTATTTGTTTGTTGGTTTGGCAATATGGTTCTCTTTTAGAACATATTGTCCCTTTGTGGCATTCTTGTTAGAAGTTCTTTTTTTTAAGAAAATTTCTTGCAATTTTTTTTATTTTTATCCTTCAATATCCCGGCATTGATTAAGGGGGAAGGATATCGGTTGATAATGCCAAAAGGGGGAAGGAAGGATAGTTGAGAAAATTTTTTTTACTCCGATATTTTTTTGCACTTCTCTGACGTTGCAGGGGGAATTATTCTTAAAAGGAAGTATTTTTTGAACTCTTACTTTGCTCTTTCTCAACTATGTTTGTCATTATCAAAAAGGGAGAAATTATTGGACATGAGTTCAAACCCCTTTACTATTTCTTCTGGAATTTTTTTTTTTTTTGATGAATGAAAAACAGGATGATTAAGTTCATGCTGATCGAAAATTTATTTTCGTATCGAGAAAAGCAAAGAGGCGTATCAAGATAAAATCAAGGCTTACCCCTACGCAGAAGTTTTTGAAGTGAAGTGAAAACTCCTAAGATTTCTTTTAATTGAGTCTAGGAATCTTTGTAAGGATGACAATACTTTCTGCACAAACAAATAATTTTTTGAGGGATAAAATTTATTATTTTCTGAATCAGTTGAAAAATTACTTTTCCTCTATCTAAAAATATTTTACTGAGTCAGTTTCAAAAATAAGTGTGTCAAAATTTCTTAAAAACATTTTTTAATAATACACAAATTTTTTTTGTGGTAAGAAAAATATACTTTAAATATTTTTCGTGTACATCGTTTGACACACAAAATAATTTTTGGACTAACTTTTTCTCCCCTATTCAAATTCATTGAATAAGGGACACTTTCTCTTGAGGAGCGTTCTTGTCTCAAACAAACGAATATAAGCCAATTCACTTCTTATCGCAACTGGCCTTGGGCCCTTTGTGTTTTGCGCATTATTCTCTATTTAATCGATTAACAGTTTCTTTTTAATGGATTAGATCCAGCTCCTTAGCGCTGGATTTCTCAGTCTTTTAGTTTAATCGATTTTTATTCTTCATTTAATCGATTAGTTGAGACAGCGCCATCTAATCGATTATTTTGTCAAATTTAATCGATTAATTTGCACCCTGCGCAGAAGACCTTTTCGCTTCTGTACACCTTAATCGATTAAAGGCTTTACCTTAATCGATTAATATTGTCTGGTGTCTATTCTCAATCTGCTCCAACGGATCTTTTATCCTTAGCCTATTTAATCTCTCATTCTCCTTCATTTTTACACACTACTCTTGCACTCTAATATACCCTTTGAGATATATTCATTCCTTGCTTCATCTTCCTCATCAAATATTATTTTTGAGAGTTAGAAATATTTTCTTTGATTGCTAAAGAAGTTGTCATCCATAGAGCTTTAATCCTTCAACACTATTTTTCTCAATTGTGTTGTAAACTCAATCTCATTTGAGTGTTGTTCTAAAGACTTGTGTGACTCAAGTCTTGTTGTTGTAAGAAAGTGAGGCTTGTGTGATTCAAGTTCTCAAGTTGTACCGGTTTTTCAAGCATCCGTTGAAGCTTGAAGATTAGTAGGACTTTTGAGAGAGTCTCTCGGAGGACTGGACTAGCCACGAGGTGGTGAACGAGTATAAATCTCGATGTTCTTCTTTCCCTTACTCTCTTTATTTATTCCTGCGATTTTATTATTTCATACACGCGAAAAACGCACATTCTTGAAAACAACTCTATTCACCCCCCTCTAGAGTTGCACTTTTGTCTAACAGAATATGGAAATCCCTCCTCCTCACATGTGAACATTGATGATTATGATGATGATGAAGACATTGACAACATGGCAAATGTTGACGATTATTACTATTATTGAATTTAATTTACTCTTATTTTGCATAATATGTTGATGTTTGGATATTTAAAACTTTGGTACTTTTTGACGACATTGTGCTTAGTGTGAAATTGCCTTCATTAACTCTCTTGACTATGTTTAGATTTGGTATCAAGGTCATTAACAGGTTCTGCTGAAGTGCATGAAAATGGATAAATATCCATGAATCATGAACTCATAAATCAAAGGAAATTCTTAGCCTTGGTATGCTAAGAGAAAAGCAAAATATGTCACAAGTCTTAAAAAAGACATGTTATCTATAACATATCTTATATGCTTGGTTAATTTTTTTTCTCTACTTTGATGGAATTCTTTTACGAAGGGGGAGTAAAAATGTTATCAAAATTAGAAGAAAAATAATTTTTTTGAAAGATTTTCTCTATATTGTGAAAATTGGTTGATCTTGTTTGCACTTCTCCTCGCTAATCTTATGAGATTCATCATTCTATTTTTTACTTGAATCCATTTGATAGGGGGAGGGCTTTTGAAGAAACTTCACACTTTTTATCAAAAACTTCAATCGATCCTTTTTGCTCTTGACAAATAGGGGGAGAAATGTGTGTACTTCAAAGTGCAATTTGTTTTTCTCAAAGTTTTTATGTGTTTTATACATATTAATTGATCATCAATTCTTCATAAACACATGAAAAATACAAAGTGAGAACTTTTCAAAAATGCTATGTTTTAGGGGGAGCTTACATGAATCCTTCATACCTACCTAAATCTCACTTTGAAGTAAATTATTTGTCAACATCACAAAGGGGGAGATTGTTAGCCTTGGTATGCTTAATCTCATGTTTTGATGTTAACAAATAATTTAATTGCGTCACGTTTGCTCACACAGGACTAGCATAGAATAGCTTAGAGTCATTTATTGTTAAAGATATTTGAATGATATAACTGTAAATATTTTTACTTGGGTTTTTATTTTTAAAATACATTTGGTAAATATTTTTGAAAAACATATTTTTTCAAAATATTTAACTAAAGTTATAGCTCTTCTCAATACGAGATCGCCAGTTCTTGAATTACTCAATTCCGATTAGTATTGAAAAAGTTATTAACATTTTACCAAATTTATTTCAAAATTGCGCACAAGGTAACGAACGGTCAATGTGGTGAACCATTTCTCCAGAACGGTCGACCATCCTACTGACCGTTGATGGAATCTGAACGTTACCCCGAACGGTCAACCGTTTGGTCAGAAATGGTCGATGTGATGGACCGTTCGGAGACCAGATTCCTTATTTCTTGTCATTTTCACTCCCAATGGTTGGATTATCTTAATTATATTATTAGGTGTTAATTATTCTTCTCTAACAGCTATTTTTCAGTTTCAAACAACTCCTAATCCATCCCTATAAATACCCAAACTATTTCAATGTTTTAATTAATCAAGCTTTGCTCAAATCTCTTAATTCTTTCTTCTCGTGTTCATAAAAATCTATGATTTTTATTAGGCTATTAAGAGCCATTTCTTCAATATATTTTCTTGAACACACATTGAGCTTGATTTAAAGAGATATACACTCATATTATCTATAAGAGAGTTGTAATTGTTAGAGTGTATAGAAATCATCACACCAATCCAACCTTGTATTTCATATTCTTGAGGTGGTGTTGACTCATATTATTCAAACTTTTGCATTTTATATATTGCTTCTGCATTTGCCAACACCGTTTTTGTTAAACTACGAAAAAGTTTTCAAACGCCTTATTCACCCCTCTAAGGCGTGGGCACAACGAATAAACCGAATAACACTATTAACCTTATACCATTACACAACCAAAATTCTTTGATCAATGTTTCTTAATAACATAATTGGTTCTCCTTTCTTCAAAACAATTCTGTGGTTTGGAATCCCCGAACACTTGATATCAATCAGAAACTCAGTTGTTATCCAATCACAATCTATGTCTACATCTTAATCTGCTTGACAGGAAGAATCAGAGCTCAAATACTCCTTTTCATCTCCAGAAATGAGAGATAAAACAAAATCATTAATCATTTCTACAACTTTAAGCGTGGGTGCTAATAATGTTGTGTGTCACTACCTGCATGGCTGGATGAAGACAAATGTAATCTCATATTTTTAGTGAATGTAAATACTTTACAATACGACCACATAGTCGATGAATTCACGGTAGCTTCGACAATTTCTTCTCTTGAAGCTCTTGATATAACCCGAAGTATTTGACGATAGTCACCCCCAAGCACAACTGTTTTTCCACCGAAAGGTTCATTTCTAGCATTTTTATTAGAGAACCACATAATATCTCTCATGGTGAATTTTCATCATACACGCTTCATCCCATATTATTAGACTTGCCTGTTGAATTAATTCTGCTTTTGGGATTCCTTGTTTGATCGCACACATTGAACATTCAGTTAGCGCTAAAGGGATCGAGAATCTTGAATGCGTTGTCCTACCACCCGGTAATAGCAAAGCTGCAACTCCACTTGACGCAACATTTAAAACAATCTTACCATTCGATCTAAGCACAACAGATAATGATTTCCAAAGAAATATTTTTCGAGTTCCCCCGTAACCATACACAAAATAAAAATCTCCTCTCGCAGATGCCACAACTTCTATTATCTCATCGTATATTTTTCTTTGTTCGTTATTCATCGTTGATAAATATTCTTTGAGATCAGTGGACAACGTTTCTTTGTCATAGTTGAGCCCTTCGACCAAGAAATTATTTTGAGACATATTCAGCGGGTCTTCAACTAGAAATGACATGCTACCAAACTCTTTTAAAGAGCGTCCATTTGAACTCAGCAACTTTTCAATCTCAAGCAAGCATAAATTTTGTAGATCATTTGGCAAGATGTTAAGTTCTGTAAAACACATGGCACGTTAACTTATGACTAATATATTAACCAAAACTTCAAATTTTAACCAAACAAAAATCCCAAGAATATACTTCTTTAAATAAATACTTTCTATGAATATAGTTTTCTTTAGTAATATATCTTAATCCCCCATTATTAATTATAAAGACTAACACAGTAATTTTATAAGATCGAATCCCTCGCAAATAATTATGTTGAAAAAGGGAAAACCCCAGAAATCAAAATTCAAATAAAATAGTTTTTTTGTATAGACAAAAACAAAAAATGGAAAAAACAAACATAAGTTAAATAAGAAAAAGACTACATTACCTGGATTGCGTAAAAATCTCCTTCGATCAGATAAAATCCCATCAGCCAATAATTC